GCAGTAAATTATTATATATATATATATATATATATATATATATATATATACCTGGAAAGCCTCCTTTACAGGAATAAGATAGTAAGTTGCTGCACATGAACGGATGCGGAGGGTTATACAGGACGTGTACTGGAGCAGAAAACTATTTTTAGTGAGATTAAGTGACGAGGTGGAAAGATTTCCAGGTGATATTTGTGCTTTTATAGTTTCTCTCAGTGCGCTTTTTTCCTTTCTTTTCCTGTTTTTTTCGAAGAAAGTCACTTTGACCTATTTTGGTCATTCCCTCTTTTTTCTGTGTGTGTGTGGTTGTATAGGGGAAAAGTTATATTTGCAAGTGTAGGACTGCAACTAACGATTTATTGATCAACCTGCCAATTATTTTCTTGATGAACCTATTAGTCATTTTTTCTCTAAAGCCCAATGTGAAGTCTTCAAATGGCTCATTTTGACCAACAATAACAGAAACCAAAATATATTGAATTTACTAACACAGGAGACACACAAAAGCAGCAAATCTTCACAAGTGAAAATAAAAACAATAAAAGACAAATAACAACTCGGTCAAATAACAGCAGATTAGACAAAAGAAACATGGAACATAAGTGTATAATCAATAGAGAAAAACAAAAACCCAAAAGGCAAAATAAAGTAAATGAATATACTCCAGTGTTTGAGAGAAGAGAAAATTACATGGTCTTATTAGTACCAGTAATATCCAGAAAGTTAACTTTACATTGACTGTCGAACAGTGGGTGTATTGACCTGTGCGGCTGCACCTCCTGAGTCTCGTAGATTGCCATATTAAAAACTAACAATTCTTACACAACCAACTGGAGAGCATGGCGTCCACATTTTACCTCCTCATATTGTTTACCTGCAAAACCTATTTCATGAACAAAAGACTCCAAATCATCACAACCACAGCAGGTAATTTTGCCTGGAAAATTTCTCGGGAAGCAGACAAACAGGACTATTCTGTAGTCTGGACAGGATATAAGTGGTATAATCCACTGATAATAACACTGCAGTCTAGAAAGCGCTGAAGTAAAGAAGCCAGAATTGAGCCACACTGTGCTTCTTCTACTGGAAAGTCTACATCACTTATTTCCTGCAGGGAGCCTGAATGATACACGACTAGTTTAATGTGAGGAGCTTAGACTGCATGGAAAGAGATGTCGCTACCATCACATTAAAAAAAGAGAGTATGAGCACAAACACACACTGAACGTACTTAACGGGATATTGAGAATATACCTCTGCGTTATATGTAATATTTGTGCTGCTGCACCTTCACTGTTCTGTAATGTAGTGGTGAATATGAATGCATGCACAAACGTGGAAAGGGAGACTCACAGTCTCAGCATCCGAGTCAGGGACATTGAGGTACCCCCACCGCCTCTCTGAGCCGGGAGTAGAGGACTAGCAGCCGATTTGTTTAAGAGATAGAGAGATAAACAGGGGAAGGAAGGAAGGAAGGAAGGAAAAAAAGGAGAAAGAGAGAGAGATCTGAGCTTCTTGATGTGTTAGTGATAGAGGCAGACCCAGAGCACAGACCCCCAGCCCCCGAGGAGGAGCTGCAGGAACCACATTACACACGGTTACCATGGTGATTATCAGAGGAAACCACAGAGATCACAACTCATCTGGAATCATGTGTGAAATCAACATGGACGCACACAGGGCAGAACAGTCAGAATGAGGAACACCTTAGTCCCTCTGTGATGTTCACTATATCTACAAAATCATTATTTATTTACACTTTTAAAATGTTTCTAATAAATTTTAGTCATTCATGAGATGCGACTACAACAGCTAACACTGGATGTGTTGCTCGATTGAACATTGGTGATCCCTTTCTCCTCTTGTGCCATCATCAGTTCAACATTTTAATTTGTCCAGTGAAAACTAATAACACTAATAAACTAATAACATTCCCCTCAGCCTCACCTGTTGACACTGACAGGTGTTTATTAGCCCATTATTGTGTCAACCCCATTTATATCAATGAGGGCTAAATAAGAGGAACAATTAAATTCTTCCTGAACATCATGACCTTCATGAAGGCAGGATTTAGTGCAGGAAAGTTGTATCAGGCTGCATTCATTTTACCTGGGTGTACCTAATAAACTGGAATACACATATTCTCATTCAACACAATAAAAAGAAAAGATTTCATGAAGGTTTTTCTGAATCTTGGACACTAACCGACAATTGCACTATTAAATAAACAACACTGATATTACTTCAGCAGTGCTTTCATTATCCAGCCCAAGTCCTCCATGTAGCGACTCATGTAACAGTGGGTAGTATATTAGAGCGCGGGAATCAAGGACTATCTGCATAATGTCCCTCATCACGTCCATTCATATAGCCAACAGCAGCTCAGTGACGCCTGTTAGTCATGTATGAGATAACATGATAAATGTCAGCCAGACAGGACGTCTGTCTCGCCTGTTTACCTATACAGTTCTCAAATTACACACACACGCAAGCACACACGCACGCACACACACACATACACACACACTAACAATAAACATGGTATAAGTCAAATGTATTTTCTGACTTTGTAGTTGGTTGTGAGGGGGTCCAGAAGAAAATAACATCAGCTTTGCTCAAGGCCCAATTGTGAAATCAATTCAAGTAAAAAATTGTACCAGTTTAATATGTGTGACAATATTAAATTTAACCATGCAGATTTTTATGTGCCCATGTTTTAAGATATCCATCATCTCTGCTCCATCCCAATAAAACAGATTTAAATCGAATTTGTGGCGCTGAGGGCATTGACAATTTTAATTTAGACAGTTCAACATCTCTTTCAAGGATCAGTGTCCCTGTTACTCTACACAATCGACAAAACACACCATGAACAGTTTGGACTGGAACTGTGGATTAAACAGAGTAATGCGTAACAGAAAGAGACGTTAAAGGCGCTGCACTGAATTGTGCAGATTTAAATTTATTTTCTTATCAAAGAAAATCCACTTAGCTCCACGTCTATTGTAAAAAACGCAACTAAACAAAAAAAGAGACATATCGAAAATCTTGGGCACATAAACCAAAACTAAATAATAGGTTTTTTGTTTAATTGGGTTAAAGGACCAGTGGGTAGGATTTAGTGACATCTAGTGGTGAAGTTTCAGATTGCAACTAACTGAACACTGTTGGTGTCTAGAACTGTAAACACTGAAACATGACCCACAAATAATATATTCAGGTGATTATATACTAATACTAGTGTAGACTTACACACTAATGAAATCATACCTATGAATATATGAATGTATACACACTGGACCTCTAATCGACCCTATAATGTGATAAAAACTATAAAGTTTAAAAACAAACTACATTAACATATACTACAAAACATGTGATTCTCTTACACATAACCATAATCCTCCACAATACTACAAGTCAAGTTAGTTTATGTAAATGCAGCAGACTTCCTAAGCGTGCTGTAGAGTAGGGTGTTCGTGACAGACGCTATCCTCTGGCCCTAAAGCTCACACTATGTTTACACAGTCAGCAACAGAACATACTCCCCTCACACATCAGGTGATGGTGTGAGTAAGTGTCTATATAGAGTGTGCATGCACATGTTTGCACTGTATGTGAGCACACAGGACTTAGCAGACTAGCTTTAAGATGGGTGTTACCGTAGACACTGCGTTGCTGAGGCGTCGACTAGGAGTCTTGCTGTGGGCCGACATCAGGGCATCGATGTCTTCCTCCGCATCCCCATCAGAAAACTCCTGCGGATGACAGCGTTCAGATTTAATCAAAAGGGAGATGGCATCTGGGAAACTGGCCAAAGCTTCTTGGGTATGTTTTCCACACAGCAGCTCTGTGTGGGTGGATGCGGCCAGCTTCCATAAATTCAATCAGACAAGTCAGGACAGAGTGTGGTAATTTGTTTACTCGTTTTTCACACACAGAATCACAATGTCACTGGGTTTACAGTAAACTTGTGAGCATGAATGGAGGAGTGGGTTTAAAAAACCATCGTGTGTGAGTGCCTACGTTTCTGTGGGGCGCTTTGAATACAAATGAACACTCGGTAAGCCCGGAGACAAAGCAGCCCTATACTGACCATCAGATCCTCCACCTGTTTTCAGCCTACAGCCGTTTAGATGCTTGTCATGCTCTTTGAAGTGAGCTCTGAAGTGAAATTAACATTCAGCCCAACGTCTGACGCATCACGTTGAGTTCATCAGCCCACAGATCCTGAGCTCGACATGGACGCACAATATAGGTATATGCATTTAAAAAGGGGGAATGGGCTGTAAAATGAAACAGTTTCACACTCAGAGCTTTTTCTGTGATTGTGGTGGATTTGCTGCAGAGATAAAATGTATGGTCAGTGTGCGAGGAAGCTTAAGGAGGAAGAAAGGGTGCATTCAGTGCCGCTTACTGTTTCATTGAGCCCGGGGACCGACCGGCTTCTGAGACTGAGGGCATCGTCACTGGGTTCAGAACCAGGTGCTGACAGGTCCATCTCTGAGCGACTGTGATCTGTTGCAGGGAGGGAGGAGAGGGGGAGACGGGGGATGCAGAGCAGGAGAGAAAAAAAAGAAAGTAGTTTCAAAGATGCTGTTTGAAGGGAGAGGGACTGGAAGGCAAACACTGAGGAATAGAAGCAGACAGTGCGAGAGAGAGTAGAAACTAACTATATTGTCACTATATTGTCTGCTTGGACAATGTGTGTGAACATCATGAACTTATAGTAACAATCATCTTCATTTATTTTACTACTAATGTTCAAGGAAAGTGCTTTACATTAAGAATAAGCTGAGAGCAATTATAAAGAAAGAGTTGATCATTTAAAGGAATAATAAAAGATCTTTTCGTTTAGTATGAGGCAGGACATAAAGTTAAGACTTTATGTTCTTGCAGAAATTCATTGTAATTTTTTAAACATTTGGTCCCTGATTTTATGGACGGTAAAAACTGATTTTACTGATATGACACCTGTCATTAGCTCCATTAGTTGGTTGAAAACATTGTCTCTTTTTAATGTTTCCAGCTTACGTGTCCTAAATATGTACTCATATAAAGCTAACAGGTCCCAGGCTCACAAGCTGAGGATCCATGTAAAATACATGCAAATAAAAAGAACAGCACTGTTGTTGTATTGCAGTGTAAAACTACTTAATGTTGGTCTTAATCCAAGTATGATCATCAAAAATGTAATCAGTATTTTTACACTTTTAACGTTACAAGAGAGAAAACTCATTTGGTATAAATATTTCACAGTGGATCTGCTCCATTAATCTACCTGTTAATAATGATGAAATGTAAGTATTCAGGTCATTTATGAAGGTATTTTTATTGGATTATATGCATGGTTTCAGTGGTTTTTAAGGGGTAAAAATGTAATGTACTTGTAATGTTCATTTGTACATTTTAATTGTTCTATTTAGCCATTAATTAATCACAAATCTGAGGCATAAGGACCTGAATACTGTCACAATATGATGTTGTTGTGATGTTAGCAATAGTGGGGGGAGAGTATCGCTGTCGGGGGCTGGCATGCCGTCTCGTCCTCTTTGCATGTTGCAACTTTAGCAACAGTTTGCTAACCCACAACCTAAATAACATTAGTTTCATTACTTGATGTGTTGTTGTTAGCACCATATCATCATAGGGTTCTGATTCTGATACTAAAGGTTTGGTATGTATTCAGGGGTAAATCGAGGAGAAATTCATTGTCTTTTAAGGGACTCCCAGTTAGCTGGGCATGCATGTTAGAGCAGATTTACTTACAGTTTAATCAGTTCCTTCAACATTTGCTCTTCTGTTTTTGGTTTTAAAAGGGCTTAAAAAGTGTGTGTACAATTAAAAGAGAGCAGGAAGTTTTAGAGCTAGAGGCATATTTTTGAACTTTAAAGAGGTAGCCAACATAGCTGTTCTCTCTCCCTCAGTCTTTATACTAAGTAAATAATCACCTCCAGGTTCTAGCTCTATACTTAACACACAGACATGAGATTGACATAGATCTACCTATTAACTCTTAGAGAGAAAGAAAGTGAGTGTGTATTTCCCAAAACACTGAAGTACCCCTTGAAACGTGTAAAATATGAAATTAAATTGATTAGAAGTGTAAATAAGCTGTCAAAAGTGGGTCTAGAACTGTGGGAGGCAGCTTTACCATAAGTGTCTGCCTGAGATTTTTTAACAGTGAGTCTGAGGGTCTGAGGACTCCTCCAGGGACAAACTGTATCAACCATATAGTCAGGCCTATGAATAAAATTATAGAAAAGCAATAGGATCTTAAAAATCTATCGTAAAACTGAAAACACAAGGCTACAAAACAAAAAAGGTTAAATCTTCAGTATTATACTGACACTAATCGGAGCGATTTCAAAATCTTGACACACTTCTTAGCAGCTGTTACTAGTGGAGATAAAGGGTCTGACACAGAGGCAGGCAAAGGGGAGATTACACCTAAAAAAAGGGAGAGTTCGACACAAAGAAGAGCAGCACACAGTGGCGGGGGTGTAAGTTAATAGTATAATTTGTGCAGACGTGACATCTGCTCCCGACAGAAGGAGTATGGAATAATTTTGTCCTTTATGAGGTACTTAATAGTCTGGGTTGGAGAGCATCTGAGTGTTTTTGCATCGGTTAGACTGTCTAATGTCCCATTTGATATGATATTGCTGCCTCTGACACATCTTGAAACTGTGATATTGAAATGCTTGTGTGCGACATGCAAGGCTGTGAGACGCGTGGGTTGTAGTGGAGGTACCTGATGATACAGAGGCCCTGGACACGGAAATGGTCGGGGTGCCCGAATCCGACCTGTGATGGCCGGCAGCTTTCTTCTCAGACGCATTGTCGCTGGAGTGTAAATTGGCAACGCTCTCCGCTCCGTCAGGCTGCGTGCAAACACAAATACACACACCCAAGCTGTTAGAATAACAGTTTAATCTGGATTGTGTCCCCCAGTGTGTCGCTGTATGCGTGCTTGTGTTTGTGTGTGTTAGTTGCTGACCCTGACCCTCCGGTTGTCGCTGAGAGCCGAGGGTCTTTCCAGAGTTTGGGAACGCAGGTTGTTGGGGACCGTGGGCATCCCTGAGGACTCCAAGGCAACGGCTCCGCCCCTGAAAACCAGAAAGAAATTAGTTCAACAACAAGTATTTAAAGCCCAGGACATTCCTTTTATCCTTCTTCATGAAATAACATGCATAGTTGTGTGACACTGGGAAACAAGATTTACTCAACTATAACCTCAATAGATGCTTTTATTAACTGTCATTGCCGTTTCTTTATTGCTTGTTTTTTTTCTAGTCATTGAAATGTGTTCAAACCAGTTATGTGGTCTTGATGCCTGAACAATTTTCAAACAGATATAACTCAGCTTTGACCTAAATACTCAGAATGTAAGCAGTTTGATGTTTCATGCTGTAGATACCGATACAGGGCTGCACCAGTTTTTGTTTTTGTTTTTTTTGGGGGGGTGGGCTTTTTATTACTTTTACTTGATAGTGACAGCTATCAAGAGACAGCAAAGGGCTGCAGGTCGGATTCGAACCCTGGGCTGCTGCAGCAAGGACTCAGCCTCATGGGTCGCCAGCTTTACCCACTGAGCTAACCGGGCACCCCTGAAGCGTTTAAGGACTACTGTCTAGATCTGCTCTATGTGAGAGGTGTCCTGAGATAACTTCGGTCATGATTTGGCGGTAAATAAGTAAATGGGATTGAACTGCTGTACAGTACATAGCTCAGTGTGTTTACTGGTCGTGTGGATAGACACCTGTTTGAACGTGGACTCGGAGCAGAGCGAACACTTCGTACACTTTGAGCATCTGCATCTGGAACTGTTTTAGCACTCGTGCCGTCCACTCCGTTCTCTGGCTTCAAGGTTGGTCGGCTACCTTTTTTATCCATCTTCATCCTCCTACACACACACACACACACACAAACACACACACATAAGGAGTCTGTTATCTACTGTATTATCAGATATATTCAGTCATGTCCATTATTACAGAGTCATTACACCGTGTCTCTGCTCCCTCTTTATCAAGATTATCTCGGTCACTCAACTCTAAGGTTTGCATCCTGCAGAGGAGGAAATAGGGACGAACAACCCTGATACATTATTTTCATTAAGCCGATTACATGGCTTGATGCAATGATGCAGATATACAGGTTTTAGCCATGCTCTAGGATGAATTTGAATGAGTTTTAATGAATACATTTAGTCAGCCTTTGTGTGCTAATTGGCAAATGTTAGCAAGTTAACAAGCTACACTACGCTAATGAACACGGCCAACATTATACCTGCAATAACATCATCATGTCAACATTGTTAATGTGAGCAATGTTAGCATACTTATATTAGCATTTAGCTTGAAGTAGTGCTATTTTAAACTTATTATTAATATTGCAATAACATTTTTGAAGTTTACTGCTATACTTACTTGATTCAAAATTCTGGCATATGATCCCATGATTGTCTAACACTACTGCTTATGAAATCTGATGCAAATCTAGATTAATATGAAATAAAATTAAAGTTTTGTGCTTCTTTTTGAGCATAATTTGAATACCGGATGCAGGAACACAATTCTTAAAGTTAAACATTGCTGGTAACAAGACACATGTTCAATAATGTTTAATATTTCTTTGAAGAATCTTGTTTGAATTAATAATTCATTATCATTTATTTAATTATTTATTCAGAAAGTCTTCAGCAGGTTATTTTATCAGAGTAGTTCTGATAAAATAATCGCAGCCTCCTGTGAATGTGAAATTAAAGTAGTTCATTTCTTAGTTTCAGCCCTAATATCTATTGTTTATCAGAGCTGGTTTGCTCTTTTCTGCATGGCCTCTTTGTCTGAATCACTGTGATGCCTTCAGGAACCATTACAGTGCAGCCAAGATGAGGAGAAGCGAGCCATCATAAACCAGTTAGTGCTTTACTAAATGTATTTTAAAATGCATTCAGGGTCTCTGAAAAATCTAATGAACATCCACTTGATCTTTTCTAATGCATTTGTACTGAGGTGAGTCCTCAACGCACTGCTGATTTCTGTCAGATGTGGTTTGAGATGATTTTACCCTCTCCTCTGCATACACTGCATATTTCATGTTTTCATGTTAATGTAATTCATTCAATTTAAACCCTATTATTCAGAATACGTATGTACTTGCATGCACATGAATTGAGCTGTTGAGTACTCTATTTCCACTACTTACCCTTTCCTCCTGGCACCGTCTATAACATTGCTTATTGCACTTCTGTTGGGTTTTGGGGTGTTGGTTCTCTCTGGCTCAGGAGGGGCTGGAACATTTTCTGTTGATTTTTTGTCTGTGGCTGGTGATCAAAAACATCAACTTCACCACCAATCTCACTATTTCCACCTACTCATTATGGTTTGGATGACATTTACAGTTACATTCAGAAGAACATTAGTGGTAAAACTCACTGGTAGGGCTACTCATGATTGTCTGTTTGATCACGTCACTGCTCGGCACTCCCTGCTCAAAGCGCTTGGACCGCTCCTCTAGGAACCATTCTCCCGTTACAACCTTCAGCTCCCTGCAAACACAATGTCCACCTATTACCAAGCATTCAATGCATCAACATACTTCCAGTTACTAATTCAGAGTTATTTTCTGATGACAGGGTTTAATATCTTCTCAGGCCTTTTGGGGAAACTAATATCTATTAGTGTAATACTGTGTTTTGAGACTTTTAACAACCTGCAGTGCAGAGACTTAAAGGGGAACTTGGCAACTCTAGCCATTTCTTCGCTAGTTTTCAC